ACACGTAGAATATATATTTCTATTACACCTATCGCCTCTTTCACTCTACGCCTTCTCATTCCTTTCGTTCCCTACACCTTCGCGATTTCAGCTACGCGACCTACGACGCTCTCCGCGGGCCGTTGCCACCCGGCGAATCCATCGGCAGTCTGTGCTACTGGGTCGGTCGTGCAAATCCGTTGCGTGAGCCCGCTCCGTCATCTATTACGCACCTCTCGGTTATTAAATATTGTAGCGGACTAAATCCCCGTTACAGTGTACAACTGTGAGTGTACAAATTACATGTTTTATAAATATTTCTCATTGCCAAATATTTACGTGTATAAAATTTTGTCTAGGAAACATTATTGTAATAAATGTTGTAAAATTTCCGTGTAAATTTTGTAACGGGGGTTTAGACCGCTACAATATATTAATTAACCGAGATTGAGTAGTGGCTGGCACAAATGCAGCTCTTCGCGGCACTGCGTTTTCTGCTACGCAAGACCGGCCCAGTAGGTCAGATCGCCAACTGGCCCGCGGAGAGCGTCGTGGGTCACGCAGCTTAAGTCGCGAAAGTTAAGAGAAGCGATAGGAAGCAAAGATAGTACGAAAGAAAAGCCATGCAATTTTAATAGTGTACGAATATATAATAAATAAGTTTATGTACGTGTCAGTGTACAGGGCGGTTCAGAGAGAGCGGCGTGATAGGCCAAACGAGAGAGAGATCTAAGGAACGGTCGGTACTTACATTAATCGAAGCCCTTCAATTACATCTTGGCACGAATGCGGAATTCGCCTAACAGTGCAGTCGCTTGTCGCGAAGGAGGAGGAGAAGTATCGCACGCACAGTTGCACTTCTCTCACTTATCAGAGTCTAAAGTCTCTCTGTTGCCATGAGGCGTTTCTCAAACAAAAATGCTAATACAAATGTACGCTCGAACGAATGCCTCTGCACGGCTCGCGAGCTATCAGCTAATTGCTGGCCCTTCGTCACGCGGCGCGCGGTTCGTCATACCAGTCGCTAAGCCTACACGCGCACGCGGCCTCTCTCTGCCGGTGCTCTCTCTTGCCTTCTCCGCACTCGTCGTCTGCTGCTGCTAAGGAGAAATATAGTTCAAATAATATAATATTTTAAAAATATGATATGGCCATATATAGAGAGAGAAACATAACAAGTTGATGTCCAACTCGTTATAATTTTTCAACATGATCTATTTAACAATCATTATTCTTTTAGATGTTCAGTTATAGAATGAAACAAATTTAAAAAATAGTGGACCGGATCCATTTCAGATCGGGCAGGCCTACGGCAATGATATCTCCGATTGACTCGGCTGTGGAGTATGTTATTCTACTTAAATAAAAATAATATATATACTTATAAAAATAAGCTGACACGTATTTTTTTTTTTTTTTCGATTAGACCTCTACATCATTTTTTACGAGTATTTTAAAAAAGTGGTTAAAAAATAAATTTTCTAAAAATCAAATATTAAAATTTAAAAAAATTCTCTATATTTTCTAATTTTTTTACTTAATATGTTATTTATAGCTTATTTTACTGTATTTCTTATACTCTTTCGAATGCGCCATGCAGAATAAAAAAATATTGAAAATTGGCGGGAAAAACTCAATTTTTCGAAAAAATTTCAAACTCAATTTTCTCAAAAAAGCCATCGTTTTTTTTTTCAAATTTTTATGATAGATTAAGCATTACAAGACCTTTAAATTGGTATAGGAGTGATCGCATACTTTTACGTTTTAGTGATAAAATATCGGTTTTTCGTTTTTTTTTGCCCAAAACATTGATAATTATAGTTTTAACATGTGAAACGTGTTTATATATATATATATATATATATATATATATATATATATATATATATATATATATATATATATATATATTTATATATGTATAGATAGATAGATAGATAGATATTTATATATACATCCATATATACATATACAAGAATTGTACGTTTGATAGTAGTCTTGCGATTTTGATAGAATTACATTCCTTCTTCTATAAATAGCTTATAAATATACACGTGCTCGCATTGCTGATAGCACATAATTCAGTTTCTATCAGTCGTAAATTGTGTACACACAGAGAAGCAGGCATGCTTTCTAGGTGTATATTATATATTAAAGCAAGTGTACGTTATAACAAAAATCACTTTAGATCATAACTGAGTGTTTTATTTCTGTGTTTATAATTATCACTCCACATAGTACATATTCAGATAAGAGAGTTAAGTGTTGTGACTTTTTAAAAAGGCATAAATCATGTGTATATAAAACTAAAAACAAGCGATTTAAAAGCCTTGGTGACTTAGCTAATAAATTGAAATTGAAGTTTGGCAGAAAAAAATTTGAACCGTTTGATAATGTGTGTATAACTTGTTACAATCTTTTATGTTTAAAATATGAAAGTAGCAAAACAGGTGATCCTTTTTCAAGTGATGAGCAAGATGATACTGGTAAGACACCCACACAATTAATAATTTATCTTTGTAAAGTAATACATTTTCGTTTTAAAAATATTATATTATGAATAGAGTTAATAAATGAGTTTATTTTGAAACTTTTCATAAAAATAAAGTGTTTTTTTTTAAGTTTGTTGTAATGATTTTTTTGAACATTCACAATGTATTTCATATCTATATAATACACATACAACATATATGTAAATAAGTTATACATGTCAAAACTATAATTATCAATGTTTTGAGCAAAAAAAAAACGAAAAATCGATATTTTATCACTAAAACGTAAAAGTACGCGATCACTCCGATACCAATTTAAAGGTCTTGTAATGCTTAATCTATCATAAAAATTTGAAAAAAAAAAACGATGGCTTTTTTGACAAAATTGAGTTTGAAATTTTTTTGAAAAATTGAGTTTTTCCCGCCAATTTTCAATATTTTTTTATTCTGCATGGCGCATTCGAAAGAGTATAAGAAATACAGTAAAATAAGCTATAAATAACATATTAAGTAAAAAAATTAGAAAATATAGAGCATTTTTTTAAATTTTAATATTTGATTTTTAGAAAATTTATTTTTTAACCACTTTTTTAAAATACTCATAAAAAATGATGTAGAGGTCTAATCGAAAAAAAAAAAAAATACGTGTCGGCTTATTTTTGAAGTAGAATAACATACTCCACAGCCGAGTCAATCGGAGATATCATTGCCGTAGGCCTGCTCGATCTGAAATGGATCCGGTCAGTGTACAAATAAATCTTGTAAAGTTCTTAGATATGGACACCAAACGCTGACTCTTGAAGACACAAAGAAATACTATAATGTGTCCATCTATCATTATAACTAGCCTACAATATTACATTATATGTATAATTCATGTCATTTCGCAGAGTTAAAAACTTTTTCATTTTCAAAAAGACCAATCCTTTTCTTAGTGTATCTAGTAAACGTGTAAAAATTTTCAGATTACAAAACTCATATTTAGATTTTTGACATTTTAAAAATTGTATTTTTATTTTTTTTTTTTTTTATATTTGATAATTATCATTTTAATTTTTGAGTGTGAAAGATTTGTTTTAGGTGTATGTGCGTGTATTTTTGAGTTCAATTCCATAGCAAACTTGAACTTCTTATTGTCCTCTACTGAAGTTTGTATAGCTACAGCATCTGTTAGGGTGGCTTCCACTGAAATGGTAACATAATTATGTCTGCATTTTTAAAGTATTTTGCATTTTGTCCTTCTTCGATGCAAATTTAGCATATGATTTTTTCAGAAGATAAATAGATCCAATATACTTCGCAATATCATGATTGATTTCTAAAACGCTAACTCCCTTTCCATTATTCATGAAATTTGTATATATTTGATTCGTGAAGCTTAGTACATTTTAGTTGATAAATTCCAATATTGATTGTTACTATTGATAATGCTAAGACTTTTATCTTTTTTGTTTAATTCGTTTAATATAATAGATGTAGGTATACAGGTTCGTACATTAAAAATTATAATTGTTTTAGCTTTTTAGAAATGAGTAGGTGAATAGACAATGAGCACTTTCCGTTGTTCTCTTATTTTTCATAAGTGAGTTTTTCCACTAGTTCTGATTCTTCTTTAATAAATGCGATAAATATACTGTAATCTTTCAATATAAAAAATTATTTAATTACGAGTAATTGTGACGCTAAGGGTATTTATATTCCTTATAACATCATATTTTACTATCTTGTAAACGTTCAATATAGATATCCAATGTATATACTTCAGGTAATAGGCACTAAATATGAGCATGCTGTCTTTTTCTAACACGTTTATATTGAGCGCTGACGCTTTTGATGACACATACACGTATTTCAAATGTAGCTAATAACACAACAAATGAATAATACATTGAGATTTGAGTTAAATAATAATATACTCTCTGGTAATCCCACGACTTCATATAATTTAATAATACTGATGGCAGTTCTTTTGCAAGATTAGAAAACATAATATAAGGTTATATTCTCATATCGCTACTTAAATGTTAAATTACGTAAATATTTTTAAGTTTCTCGTGATTTGTAAGATTCTAATTTTTATTCACATAATTGAAGAAGAAAATGTTAAAAATATTGAAATAGTTGTTTCCATACATCATTTTCGGATTCAGTTTGTAAAAATACTTTAAAAAATAATGTTAAATTTTGTAATGATGAATCAAAGGGAAATAGTGATAGATGGAAACTCACTTAATTATAATTATATTCAGCAACGTAATCATTACAAAATTTAACATTTAAACAAATCATAAGGGAATCAAGACAGTATGTTACGTTTAAAAAATAATATTTGCCTGCATACGACATTTCAGTCTTACAATGGTTTAAATTGTGCTATCGCACACTTTGAAATATTTTTTGTGCTTCGAACACATAAGTATAGGGTATTACATAAAATGAGGTGTAGATTAGCATTAGATAATATTTCTGATACGTGAACGACTCAACGTGGCAGTGAAATTTAAAATTTAAATTATAAAATACACTTACCTATATAGAGAAATTTTTATATTTAAAAATTGCATGTAGTAATATTGCTGTATTGGCAAGGGCTGTTTATTGAAAAAAGTGTCAAAACGTTCGGACAATGCTTCAATTGTTGGTGGTCTCAAACATATCAGTAAATCTAGCCAATCAGTTCCAGTTAATAAACAGTATTCCAGTAAAGTACATGAATAAGCTAAACTAAGAGATGTACCTAGAAAATGACGATTATATCAAGTCGATACGGTCAATTATACCTGTAATTTTCTAGCAATCGAATAAATTGAACGTAAGATATTACCATCTGTGGGTAATTTATATACATGTAAATTTCCTTTAGAATCCATAAGTACGCAAATACATCCTAACCATGATATATCGATATATGAAACGGTTGTAGAGACTTTTAGATATTTATTGACTGTTTCATCTTGATAGAAATTATTATTTAAAGTAGAAGAACTTATTTCTTTTAATCCATCAAGACTAAGACAACGTACAGAAGCATCTGATAAGGCGACTGTAATATAACAGGTAGGTTTGTTTATAGATATTTTTGTAGTTGTTACTGCAGTTACACAATACGAACAATGGTATAATGCTTGATGTTGCCATACCTAAAATTGATTATAACATTAACATCAGAAACAAAAATTAAATACATAACAAATTTAGTTTGTTTACATAAGTTTTGAAAGATTCACAATTTTTAGATTGAAAACCCTTATGTACAGGTGGCGTTTTTTCACTCAATTCCCATATTTCAATAAATCCATCAGAATCATTATTGGCTGCTACAATTAAAGAGTCAGCTGTTTCCGACGCAGCGAATTTAAGATGCGATATAGTTATATCAACTAGAAAATGAAAATCGTTTCAAGATTACATAATATTACTTAAAATATAATCATAAACTCTGTAATTCATGTTTCGTTAGATTAAACTTTCTTGACTTTATACTTACATGGATTATCTTTAAAAGTACCATCTTGTAAAAAAAAACTTGGTAAAGCATGTGAAACTATGTTATACTTTTCTCCTACTTTTTTCACAGAAACCCTAAAACATCGTATAGGTAAAACACAACTGCCACTACTTACAGCAACTAGAAATTCACCATCTGTAATACATTACATTAAAAATAGTGAAATAAGTATAGTATAAAAAACTTTTTTCAATCAAATAATTATTACTTTTGGCATAACTAATGTCAACGGCTGAGACTCTTTGCCGAATACTTCTCAAGCTTTCAGTTGAATAGTATACTAAATTTTGTTTATCCTGAGTGATCAAAATTGCTCCCAGCATTCCTGTATTTGTAACTACAAGTACACCTTGGCTTGCACATCCTCCAAATTGTTTCACTGTAGGAGCGTAAAGCAGATGGGAAAACTTATCACTGTATTGTGTACAATCTTTTTTTTCTGAAATCAGTGAAATCTGCAAAAAAATTAGATAAAGAAATTGGTATTACAAATAAGTTTGATCATAATTAATAATATCAGCTGTAATAATAATAGTAATAATAATAACAATAATGCAGGGCTGGCTTAATGGGTGGTAACAGTTCACTAGGCAAACGCTAACTTTCAACGTCCACGACCGTGTTCTTTGAAAACTTCCGCTGCGTCAATGCTTCTAACAACAACACTATAGCGGACACGGCTAAAAAAAAGTAATGACTGACATATGATGCAAGAATAGCGGTAGTTTGCTGATGTGTACAATGACTCATTACCCACACTTACACGGACCTAAGTCTGCTTTCGCGGTGCAAAAGAGCCAGCTCTATAAACGGGTATTGCTAGGGAACGGGGAGAAGAGTGACTTGTAAACGATTACATCCCCAAAAATACGTCAGACGAGGGCTCTATAAATGAGAATCTTCCGAAAGAAAAATAACATGAGCAGACTAGTCCAACAGAAATCAATCGTGAACGGGAGATAAAGGTGATCAAGGGAGACTTCTTCATGACAGTGTGCGCCCCCACTCTAAGAGGGTACAGCGTTAACACCAGTGGACACTACTGGGCCGCCAATAGAATTGGTCTCAAACCCGTGTATAGCCGACACGGGAGGCTGACCCGTACATTGATATAGCAAAATCTAGAAATCTTGCCTTCCGTCGTAGTGCCGAACAGCAATCGGATGTGTTCTCTGCTGCGAGAGTTAAGGGTTGAGAACTATTACGGTAGGTATTTTTAATAAAAAATATTTTTAGACGGCAAAGCTATCTCTATTAATGAAAATTAGTACTTTGGATATTAAGGTAGTTTATAAGCGACTTTTTTAATTTTTACTGGTTTGTAGATATTATTATAATGAAAATATTTCAAAAACACATTTAAAAGGTGTAGTCCACCCTCAAAGTTTTCCCCTAAAATAGTTTTTTTCAAATAACTTTTCTGCTGATCAATATTTTTTAGTAAAACCAAATGGGCAATAACTCTTATCAAAAGTCTAACAAATTCTAGTGTATTTGACTTTTGGGGTTGGCAACCCTAAATTTTAATATGTGGAAAATTGAAAAATTTACATGAATTTTTACAGCGTAAAAATAGTTTAATTTTGAACAGATATTTATATGTAGAAAGAAAATAGAGTTAAACAGTTTTTTTGTTTTTAATTCAATTATAGGGATTGAAACTTCTGTTTCTAATGAAAATATACTGGAAAAATTAATATGAATTCCTATTATAACTCTTTATGGAAAAAATTTTATTTATTCTATAAATACATTTAATTTTGTACCAATTTTTTAATAGAGTGCTGCACACATTAATATAAACTTGTATAAAATTTAATACAATTTGGAAGGAATGGTTGTCTAATATTTTTTATTTGTTAAAGTCTGAACAGGAATGATAACCATCAAGAAAATGTTCGATATAAAGGGACTTTTGAAAATAAACTTCTGCTATACAAAGCAGTACTCAATAGTTGGATCTACGGCATCCAACTATGGGAAGATGCTTCAAACTTGAACATCAAAATTCTAGAAAGATTTCAATTGGAACTCCTTCGCAGCATAACACACGCGCCGTGGTTCATTCCAAACGAAATTATTAGAAATGATTTACAGATTGCAACAGTGAAAAAAGAAATTCAAACTTTCTTCGCAAAATACTACACAAGACTATAAAATCACACAAACAAACTTATTGACAAACTTCTTTCGAAATCGATTACCAACACTAGACTCAAGAAACATAAAATAATGAAAACATCTAACTCAAGACAAGTAGTTGCACCTTCTAATTACATCAGATAGAATATTTACTAAAGTACTCTGCTGATAACACGTAAAATTCTCTGTTAATAAACTAACTTACTTATTGTCTTTTTCAAATGCTGACAGATTGTAAATATGCTTTGGAAATAAATAAAAAAAAATTTCCCGAAAAATATTGAAGATAAAAATTTTTCGCAAACGGCAATCGATTCGGAAATTTTTTTTTTATAGCGTATTTTCAGAAACTATACGTAATCCTTCTGAATCGCCTTATATAAAACTAGTTTTAGGCATTGCTTGCACTGCCTGTTTATACAATTCCAACGCTTTCCCAATAATTCTACCCTTCATGCTAATATCTAGAGCAAGCCTTTTTAATCCCCCTCCTATACCATCACAAGCAAAGCAGGATTTTTCCATGGCAAATCACGTAAAATGCCACTCGGCCTTTATCCCGAAATCTTTAAAGAGACTGAGCAAATCGATAAAATGGAATTAATTTATATATTGGCTTGCTGCTCCATCTCAGACGGATGAGATTTTTTCGATCGAAGTTCCATACTTTTTATTTAAATATTCAACAGCTTTTCTTCAAACCAAAGCAACGGTGTTTAATTATCTTATCATTCTTTAGACATTCGAAAATAATTACTAAACTATGCTTATGATGTCAGCATTAAATATTTTACAAAAAGGAAATTAATGGACAGTAATTTGATCATTATGATAATAGATTGCTTAGATTGCGTCTTGAAATTTTCTACATAATTTTCCGAAAAGTCGAAAGTTACCATATCTTCATTATCTTTTGAATTAGCTTTGTGACTTTTTACAAATTTATTTTAACTGGTCGCAATATTATTATGTATTCCAAATGAACTTATAGAAAATACCTTTAATTATTAATTAAATTCTAATTATTAACTAAATTATTAATTAATTAAATCTTTTGGTAAAATATTGTCGACAACTTAAATCTCGGTTTTTTTTTCTCCTTCAATAACTTCTTTTTCTCATTTTTTGAAAGTAATACAGATTATTGAATAATCAATAAAATATCTAAGCAATTATTAAAATTAAACAAAATATTTGAAGCCAGGGCATTCCCAATACACATTAAATCTACATACTTTGGTTAGATGATCACATAATAATTGTTAGAAAATATTATGTATATTTAATAGAATTGTTAGATTGCCCTTCATTTTTAATTTTGCGGTGTTCAACATTAATTTGACATTTTTATGATAAATAAATACGCAAATACTATGAAACCCACTTAAATTATTAATCAAAACCCAATTTTTTGGTTGAAAAGTACATACCAAAAGAAAAAAAGCCTATTTTCACGTTAAGACATTGATTTTTTAAAAGAACGAAAGCTTCGTGTAGCGCGTCGAGGTCTCTATGTTTAATTAATGCTACATCCTTCGATTAGTCGGGCAATAGAATTTCATGACTGATTTCTATAGCAAAAACCCCCAGAAACACGTAGGAGCAAGGATTTAAAAAAAATACTTTGAGATATTTGCAATTGATAAAAAAAAGTTAATAAATTTCGAAAAAAAAGTTTTTATTGCTTTTTGTTGTAATTATTTTGTAACGCTAGAGATAGGCATACAATAGAGGTAGCGTGCCTAATGGAGCGTATCTCTGTGTGGGGGGTAACCCTCACAACCGTTAATCTACTCGGACTACTCTTACAAGAAAAGTACCTCAACCCGAAATCAGTGATTTCGATAATTCATGTATATCTTGTAGTATATTAAAAAAGCACGAGACTGGTATTTTTTATCGGCGGAAAAACATATTTAAGGGTGAAATCCACCCTCTAAGTTCACCCCCCCCCCCCAAAATATTTTTTTCAAACAATATATTCTAGTTAATATTTTTTAGTAAAACAAAATGGATAATAATCCTTAAAAAAAGTAAAACAAACTCTGGTGTGTTTGACTTTTGAGAGTTGCAACCCCTATTTTTAATACACGAAAAATTGAAAAATTGACATCACTTTGTGCAGTAAAAACTTTTAAAATAGTGTAATTATAACCAAATTTTTATATTTATAAAGAAAATAGTAAAAATAAGTTTATGATTTCCAGCATTTTTAATAAAAAATATTTTTAGGGGGTAAAACGACTCCTATTTTTCGATATTAAAATTATTTAAAAGCGAATTTTTTAATTTTTACTGCATAATAGATATTATTATAATAAAAATATTCTAAAAATACATTTAAAGGGTGAAATCTACCCTCAAAGTTCACCCCCAAAAACAGGTTTTTTTAAATAGCTTTTTTCCTAATCAATATTTTTTAGTTAAACCAAGTGGGTAATATTCCTTATTGAAAGTATAACAAATTCTGGTGACATTGTCTTGTAACGTCGGGCCGTTTATTAGAAATAAATTTTTTTCCTCATGTACTTTTGTGTAGCTTAAATTTTAACTCGGTAAACTAGCGAAGGAGAGCCTTCAGCTGAAGCAGCTGGAGGACACGTGAAAATAGTCGTCCCTTTATCGCGCGCTTTCCGATGTTTACCTCGCACGATCATAAAGTTTTTGAGTAGGTTTAGATAAAGAGTAAAGGAGCCGCGGAATTCCACCTGCATCCTGTTACTCGATTTCACCCAAAAGATTTCCACTTTTAGAAGTCAAAACTTTTGCTATATAAAAAAACCTTAATAACTAATTTTACATAAATGAATCGGGAAAATAACAGCATGATGGGAAAATTTCGCAGCTTCTTGAAACCTCCCACACACTTTTTGATTAGAAACATAGTTGCCGCGCAATCATTGAAAATAACTCGAAGTTTTTAAATTACAAATTAGAAAAATGAGGTAAATAGTCGAAAACAGTTACTTGAACGAATTTTAGCAAATCAGTTATACATTCCACAATTAAATAATACCCTTTTTTCGTTCGAATTTATTTAAACAACGAAGTGAGTTAATTAATTAAGTTACTAATTGTAAACATGTAGGATCAACAGATTTTCGCGTAAAATATGTTAAATAATAAGGAACTTACGTTATTTTTAAGAATTAATTGTAATAATTTTATATAATAAATAACTTAATAATTATAAGAGAAACTGTACTAAAAATGGTACTTGGAGAGTCATCTAGCGAGATAAGGCCCAAACTCTTGAACGCGCGCCCCCAATTCTCACCACGCCCCCGAACCAATTAGGGCCCGAAATCCGAAA